CCTGTGAGATCCCAAACCTACATCCACTACTAAATATTCCCAAATGTCCTATAGCAGAGCAAGTGGAGGCAGTCTTAAGTGATGAGATCATATCCACAAGAGAAGGAGGACGAAGAAGATATTTGATCAGGTGGAAAGGGAAGCCCGAGTCAGAGGATACGTGGCTAGATCGCGAGGAGTTGCAGCAGATCGACCCAGATGCACTAGAGATCTACGAGAGCGCCAGAGATTCTTACTCGACGGAGTCGAGTTTTCTCCCACCCCGGGAGAATGATGGGGACATCAGATCATCATGGAAAGTTTACCAGCGACGTGGCCGCCGATCTACGGCCACGATCAAATCGTTATATTTTTTAGTCGATATATTTTATTTTCATGCTTTTTATTATTTGCTTAGGTGTGTTTATTTATTTCCCTTTGTACCCCTTTGTATGGGAGTGGTCATGTGTAAGCCTAAGGGCATTTGTGTCATGTCATTTAGAGTCTTGTTGTATGAGGCTATTTAAAGCCCCTTTGTTTTATTTTCAAGGCAATGAATTATTGATTATGAAAATTACTTCTTGCATGAGCATTGAGAGCTTGAGAGTTCTGATGGAGAGAGCTTCCTAGGAGAGGAAGAAGTTTGACGCAATACCCACCAACCTAGATAAGTCGGGTTCGTGGTTTCTTTCGTTTATCTCAATCTCGTCTCTTTTCATTGTTTCTACCTTACTTCATTCCCCATCATCATCTAGCCGCCGGAATCTAGTTTCACACGAAAATCTCCTCCGTGCCCCATCCCACACCTACGGCCAAACCCCCACCCGAACCCCCATACCGCCGGCCTTAGCATCCTTGCCGCCAACCACCTCCCTTCCTTCCCTCTTTGATTTGTTTCATACTTTGGATTTAATATATTTTGGAATATATTTGAATTCAAATTTAACATATTTGAATTTCAAAATATTTCCTAATATACTAATCCTATTTTAGGAAAGTCCATTAATGAGCCCCTATTTTTAAATTTTCATTAAGAGAGGATTAAATCAAAACTTTCCAATCTTAATAATTTAAATTAGGATCTTATTAATTCTCCCTAAATTACCTCCACTGGACCATCATTGCCGCCGGCCCCCTTACAGGTGGAATTAGGAATTCTTTCCTAAAGCTCATCCCCTCTCTTTGGAAAGATTTCTCCTCCCTCATCAGCCGAAAATCCCAAAATTCAAACTTTTAAATTATTTCCTAAAGCTGAGAAGAGGAATATGGAAATAAACCCAATTTCTTATCAACCTCCCGCCGCTCCTCTTCACTGAATTTCTCAAGAAATCTATCCAGATTTATTTGTTCTCATTGGAGAAATTTGGGATTGCACTCTGCTGTTGACCGGTCCTTCCCCTAGCCCTCACCTTGGGTTATCCCCATCTCTCCCTAGTTATTACCGTAAGTGGAATTGTTGCCTAGCTTTCCTCCCTCCTATTTTCCAACTCTTAGTCCCAAATCAAAATCTGAAATTTCTTTCAGATTTTGGGTTCCAAATCCGAAACTATTCTCAGAAATTTTCTTTGGAGAAGAAACTTGAAGCTTGTGCCCTCTCCCCTTGTAAGAGAAACTTCTTTCTCTTTGCTATCATTTGAGAGGTGTACCAAAGATCAAGGAGGATCTACCTTCAACCATCCATGAATGGCGGATCCGGAGACTGAGTATTGTATCACGTGGGACGACGACGGCTACACCGACATCTTCCGTTCTACTTTCTTCGACGTGAATCCGGAGATCGATCACACAATCGAAGAATACGTGGATCGCATTTTGTTCCAATTGACAGAAGCCATTGACGAGCATTTCGAAGGTCTTGAGTGGAGGATTTCAAAGTCTTCTTAACAAAGGGTTTTCCTTTTAACTTGTATTCAATTTCTTCTAAATCTAAATTCTCAATTGGTTGATTGTAATCACGAAAGCTCCTTCAATTGCTCTTGCCAAGCTTAGTCATTTGTAGGAATTGAGTTTAATCTTCTATGCATCCTACGTCTCATTGTTAGATTAGGGATTTAATTTGATGCCTACTGTTTGCGTTGTGTGATTTTCTTATTTATTTTGAAAGTTTCAAAGTTCGGAGCATGCAATCTCACTTAAGCAAATCATTTCCTTATTTGTTTTGAATCTTCATTGAGAATTGCTAAGTAATTATTTTCTGGATTTATTCTAATATAAGAGTTGTGCAATGCCTAAATGACTACATAATCATCGCATCTAGCTAGTCCTGCATCAACTGGTATCAGAGCATGGTATGCTCTTGCATGTCTTAGGATTCCTGGTAGTTTTCCTTTTATGTTTTCATTTTGCATTATTTTTCATTTAGAAAAGCTTTTATTTTATCCCTAGAGTGCTACTAAAGCATTGTATGTCATTTTGTGAGCATAAAACATCTTAAGTTCATCCTACACCCTTGTTTAGTGTGTTGTCCAGAAGATTCCTGCAGTTTTACAAACTTCAGGATCACTAGTTAAGTGTGTTTTTTCTGTACCTGAAATTCCTGCACCATATAGGAACATTTTAGAGTGTCTTTCCTTTCCCTAGTTTTCTGTCCACTTCCTAGGAAACCCTCTAAGTACCCCATTGTGTTTAGGAATGGACCCGGAACAACTAGGAAGGACCCTAGACCTTTTGGTAGGTCAAATGAACACTATTAGTCAGCAACTCAAGGAAAACCAGTCGGATCTAGCTGAGCTTCGTAGGAACACCACCGAGAGATTTGATACACTTGAGCGAGCTATAGACCACCCTACTCCCTACACCCCATCTAGACCTCGTTCTATGTATGGGGATGAAGCCTACCCGGATGAGAGGCCACACCGGGCCAATCATCGAGCTACTTACCATGGACATGATCCACGTCATGATCCTGATTTGGATGAGAGGCATCACCATGCCAATCATCGTGCTACCTAAGTCTTTGTGCTTCTCTTTCTTCATCATTAAGGTTGTAGGTTCCAAGTTTGAGTCTTTCTATAGATGTAATATCCATCTCAATTAGCCTTGGCCTTACAATGGATACGTGCTCTCTCAATCCTATTAATTGCCCTAGACATCTTATCTCTGAGGTAAGACCATAAATCTTAGTACTTTGCTTTTGCTTCATGAAGGTTGTAGGTTCCACATTGTCCTTTGTTGAATGTAATCCCCATCTCAATTAGCCATGACCTTGCAATGGATATGTGCCCCATACTTAATTGGCCAACAGAGTCATCAAGCCTTCCAAACTAAATATAAATAAATTAGGCCAACTGCTCAAAAGTGCATGAAAATCAGGAATATTTCTCTGAATTATTGTGGGCATTGCACTTGACAGTGGTCATTGCAGTCCACTTCGTCATTCATTTTTTTTTTAATTATTCTTTCAGAAAAGGAAGAGTCATAATTTTCAATGGGAAAGATGGCATTGGTTTTTGCCTAATCTTCAAAGTTTTATCAGTTCTATATGTAGAATCTTTGGTCTGTTTCAGAGCTTTTTTGTGAAAATCAAATGCATGAAACTCGAGAAGGTTGCCAACGTGAGGATCTTGTCGGCACCCAAAAATTTTTGCTATTTGTCTTTTTTTTTTTGTGAGTTATCCATGGCATTCTAAAAGAGGCAAAAACCACTTAAGCGTGCAAATCCAGTCTTAAAATTTTTTATTTGTGTGGACGATAAAAAATTATTTGTCCAGCTTAAGAGGTGCCCTTAGGGCTGAAAAAAAATGATGTTATTGGGTATTTATTTCTATCTTGTTTGTGTAAATTATGCTCTTTATCCATAGGCATACGTAAAGAAAATAATACTTATCGTTTGTTAAATTGCATCACTATATATTTTGTTGGGTAGTGATTGATGATAATTTTTATTTAAATGGAAACATTTGATTAAATTATGATAGAATCTGATTATATGTAAAACTTTTTAACATTTCATCATGTCTTGAAATTATTTAATGTACTGCACCTACGAATATCTCCTTAGGTTAGTGATTGACCTCTTCCCAAAACAAGTAGAATTCTTAGTTATATATCATGTGCCTTCTTTTATTAAGCTAAAAATTAAGACTTTTTTAGATGTACTTTTCATAATTATTTTTCCTCTATACTAAATTCTAAAATAATGGCCATTGGGATTGTTTTTCTTTTCTGAACAAGTATGGATATACTAAGTTATTCTTAAACTAATAGTCTCCTACCCTCTTTATTTTAGTGACTTAAATGGATATAAGTTAACCAGTATTTAATGTTAAAGTAATACTTTCTCATGAAATAATTAGTGTATACTGCTAAAGTATTACTTTATCTTGTCATAAATTTCAGTATGTCCCCCTAATGGCTCTATTAGCTGACTTATTAGGGCCTGCATTTATAAGATTAGCCAAACAATCAGGAAGTCACTGAATTAGTTAAATGTGATTTTAAGGTGCCTTTATTTTGTTTATGAAGTCCATCATTGAGGAGAGTTTAATTTAAACTCATCTGTATTAAATTATCTTGGTTAGCACAAGCTACAGTGATTTAAAAGTACCTTTATTATTATAATTAAGATTATGATTAATGAAACTCAAATAGGTGTTATTGCATTAAATTATCTATGTTACCACATTGCAAAAATCTTGTCATGTGGCATATTTAAGGTTCATGCACACAACTCCAGTTTAAATAGAATGGATGCAGAAAGGGTACCGGTTCTTTCAGGAGTATTTTAGCTTTGAGTCTACAATTTTGGCGACGGTCCTAAACAAACATAAAACATGATAAATCTTAATCAGTTGAGATGCTTTAGCCCAATACCACAATTGGGACCAGGATGATGGGTTCACACTAAATTTTTATGGCATTTTGAGATTTCTTTTAAAAACTATCTCCATAACTTATTTCATTTACTATGATTATCAACATGGACATCATTTTAAACTGTCTTGTTTAATTTTTTTTTCTCTTACAATATTGTATTTTGCTGGACACACTTTAGTTAGACTCTCTATTTATTTTTTATGTAGATTTCATTCAGGAGGGAACGAATTCTGAGAGGGCTGCCAGAAATTTCAAAAAGAATAAGTCTATTAGAATCCCACGTGTCTATTGGGTATGGAGACTACAGGGGATATAATGTTAATATTTGATCCTTTTTTGTGTCTACTAGGAGATATTGGACAGCATCAGCTTACGGTTGGTTATAGATTGCATTTATTTAGGCTAATAAGATTCCTTCCAGGATCTAACTACAAGTCAGGTTTTGACGATGGAATTTTGCAGAGGTTCCAAGGTAATGCTATTTTCACATGGCTAGTGTCGTGCTCACATTCCTTTCCCTTCTGCAATTTTCATAAAATGTCCTGTTATCTTTTCCCAATAAACTTGGGTTTTGAAGGGAACCTTCATCTGAAGTGATGTGGTACAAATAATTTACAATGAATGCAGATCGAAATGAATCAAATGATTGATGTGGTAATATGTAGACTGGATTTTTATGTTTTTTTAATATAATATAAATGGTTGACAAGTATTCATAGACTAATTGAGAATCAACTAGAGCTTTTTTTTTAAGTCCTCCATGATAATGATCTTATGGTTTCAAATTGTGGTATTCAACTTCTGCACACATCATCATCATCTTCATCTACATTAACTTTATCCTAATTATTTGGGGCTAGGTTTATGACATTATTCTTATACTTTAATTTTGTTCTTTCTTGTTGACCTCAAGAACTTATCTGGATTCAACCCAAACGTATAAGGTGTAATTGATTAATGACGAACAGAACGTCATGCGAACACTTCTTGAAATGCATCAACCAAAATTTGAAGTCATCCCAACCACACCTGTTCATGAATATCATTACGCCGGTGCATTTGGGACATCAGAAGCAACTAAGAGAAACATCCATATTGCTTGGCTTGTTACATGAAAAAAAAATTGCCTACATGCGAGGTGATAACATAATATTGATGTATGCGAGCGATGAGGAATCAGACCAGGAGTTGATACATATTAATTTAATTCTTATTATTAGTAGTATTATTAATCCTAAAAAAATCTCCTTTGCCCTCTCCCATACCAATAGCTATGCCTCGCCAACTCTCCAATTCTTGGCACACCGCCTGCACCCATGCCTCATCTCCTCTTAAATTCTTGCATAATTCCACTATCTCCCTCGTTTTCTCTCTCCATACCTCGTCTCCTCTCAAATTCTTACATGATCCCGCTATCTCCCATGTTCCTTCTCATTCTCTCACCCCATCGCTCCCATTGGTGCCAACCCAAATTCCCAAAAACCCCCAGTGTCAAAGAAGCAAGGAAGTTGTGGTGGGGGAGAAAATGAGCTTTCAGTAGAGGCATTGACGAGACCAATATCATAGTGAGGAGAAAAGAAGCTTGTGAAAGAGTGGATTTAGCCCTCTCAACCTCGTCGCGAGTTATCTTTGCTAACTTCATCAGAGCTCATCTTCACTCCCTCTCTCCTTTCTCTCCATTTCTCACTTTCCATCTCTCTCCTCTCTCCTCTCTCCTCTCTCCTCTCTCTTCTCTCTTCTCTCTTCTCTCTTCTCTCTCTTTTCTCTTTCTCTCTCCTCAATCACTTACTCTCTTTATCTTTGTCACCTTTCTCTCTCAAAAAAGAGAAAAAAAAAGAGGAAAAGTGCAACAGGAAGAAATATGAGAAAAAATTTGTTTATTTGCCTCTCATTTCATCTCGCACTCGCTATTATCACATCGACATCATTTCACACACAATGTAGAAAGCAAAGCAACCTTACAGTTATGTATAAGTACTCTTATACATCTTTTTTGACACAGCGGGAAATCATGTACTTCATGGGTACTTCCCATGTTGATGGCCTATATGAAAGTAAATGATATATCCAAGAAGAGGGGGGTGCGGGTGGGGGGATTTGGTGTGTCACTTTTAAAGAAAAACACTAGTTTCTCCTCTTATACAAAATATTGAAAATAAGATTATTTTTCTTAGGAATAATTATATATAAAAAGAATCTTTAAAAAAGAAGCACCAAAATGATAGAGCAAAGATAATAATAATAAATTTTTTAAGAAAATGAAAGGAAAACAAACTATCTCAAGTTTTTTTTATTTTTAATATGGATTTTAACATTGATATCACTTCTCAGCCTATAATAATAATATCAAAGAAACAAAAATAAAAGTAAGAATAGGCAAATCAATTTTTAATGGTTTGGCCAATTTAGCATATGCCCACTCCCCAAGTTCTCTCCTTGGGATTTCCACCAATGCTCTCTCCCCAATCAAGGTTGAGAAGTCACTCTCCTTCACTAAATAACGGAAAAATCCTTACATTGCTTTTCCTCTCAAAAAGCCTTTAAACCAACCATTAAAAAAGTGGACGAGGCGTCCGCATTGAGTCGCGCCTCAAGTCGAGGCGGAAGTCATGAATATCAGGGCTTACGCCTCGAACCATCCAGCGAAGCCTACGATTTTTTCGCACAAGTCGTACGCATTAGAGCATAACGCCTCGAGGCAGTATGAGGCACCGCCTCGAAATTTTTTCTTCGGTATATATGTAAATACGACGCAACCGATTCGTGTTTGTGTATTCGAGTATAGGATTAGGGCTTCCTCTGAGAATTGAAATTCGAACTAGAGGCGAAACCGTGAGGGAAAGAGACGAAGCCGTGAGTGCAAGAGATGAAGTCAGAAGGAGGCGACGCGGGAAACGAATCCAAAAGCAATAATGGTTTCGAAAGCAGGAAACGAAGTCGAAGTTGTGAGTGCAGGAAACGTTCAGGCCTCGGTTAGGTCAGAAGAGCAAGTGAGCGGTGTTGTGGCCTTGACTTTGAGGTGCAGTAATGAAAGCTTGAATAACTCCTGATTCGGCTTTCTTTCATTCGTCTGCTCAGTACATGCTCGGTACCGAGCAGTACAAGGTCAGTTCCGCTCAGTACTAGCATGACTACTCAGTACATGCTCGGTATTGCTAGGTACATACTCGGTACTGAGCCAGCACCGCTCGGTGCCGAGCAAGTATATGCTCGGTATTGAGCGGTACATGCTCGGTACGGAGCGGTACATGCTCGGTACGGAGTAGTATATGCTCGGTACTGAGCGGTACATGCTCGGCACTGAGCGGTACATGCTCGGTACCGAGCATATACTGCTCGGTACTGAGCATATACAACAAGCAGAATTTCAAAATTATTCTTATAATAAAATTTCGAACCTGCCAGGGGGCAGCGCCCCCTTGGACCCCCGGCAGACTGGTACAATGCAAAGTGATGATGAGCCTGCATTGGGTCTTGATCCTAAAAGGATGTTTTATTTTTAAGTGAGTTTATTTTAAATCTTCTTTTCCAGTAATATACTAATGTTATCTTAGAACAAATCATCAAATTCACAATTGACATAATATTTTGTTATTTTTTGACATTTTTCATAATTTTAAATTGCTTTATTTTTATAATTTTTTAGGCTTACGCCTCGCTTAGCCAAAACGCCTCGATTCCCGATTTTGCCTTTTAAAATGTTGCTTTAAACCATAGCCTTCTCGGCTAGATCCACGAGGTACATTAGACCTCCTTGAGATCTTCATAGCCTTTACAATAAGACCCTTTAAAGCTCTCCTCCAAGAGCATTGGCTATAAGAACCAAGTGAATATCTCACTCAAATTCAAGAATTGTCTCAAGTGAATTTCTCACGCTTCTCAAATCTCTCATCTCTCACTCCTCTCCTAAGCCTTTTATAAATCTTTGAAAGATCACTCTCAAAGCTCTTAGAAACTTTCAACATCTTTGAAAACTCTTAAGAACTCTTTTGGATTACTTAGACATTAAGTATTTGTAGCGTGACTTCAAAAGAAATCCTAAGAAGGCTGATTATTAGATATGTTGGTCTGAACATATAGTTTGATAAGGGGATCATACTGTCCGATTAGTTAAACCAGCCTGAAACCTTAAAAATTATTCTTTATTTCATCAAACTATACGATTTATATATGCAACACGATTTGTTCATTTTCTATTGAATTAGTCTATGTGATTAAAGATCGAACCAACATGCTCTTTGTTTGTTCAGCCTATGCGATCTAGATCCTGTAATACAAAATTTTGTTGACCTAATTGTTAATTACTGTTTGGGATTCTTGGGTATTGAGTAAGTGAATATCATTGATAATTGTACAGTACAATGTAAAATATATAATATGAAATTTTCTAATTTTTTAACCTATTTTACTCTCATGTGTTTGCTTTGTTTTTTAGCAAATCATACTGATGCGGACATCTGACGATGGACAATATTCAAAGGAAGAGTCGAAGATCGATGACCGAGATCACTTTGTTTTATTTTAATTTATTAAGTGCTATGATGCACCGACACTTCTCCTCAAAGAGGTGTGCAGTGTCCGACACCGTGTTCGACACAACTCTCCCGACACGTGTCGGGCACACCGAAAACGTGTCCGATTAATAAATATTAATTATAAATTGGACACGCGTGTCCGACACACGTATCTTAAATATTTTATGAATTTTTTTAAATATACTTTCTTTTATTTGACGGGATTTAAAATAAATTTCTTATTTCCTATCCACAACACCAAATCAACGTCCGCACTTAATACCCAATCATCGAATATTCTCATTTTCATTTCTTTTTGGCAGTGAAGGTATTTTCATCTCCTCTCTCGGTGACTAATAAACGGCATCGATGCCTGACTCTCGACATCCTAATACTAATCATTTTAAGCACAAATTCTAGTTAAATGACTTATTATTTTTAAAATTATACTTATTTAATTTTTATACACTATTTCTTAAATATAAAAACTATAATAACGTGTCCAATCCGTGTTCGTGTCCTATATTTTCAATAACTGACGTGTCCCGTGTCCGTGTCGTGTCGTATCCGTGTCGCCTTGTCCGTGTCTGTGCATCATAGATTAAGTGTATTTTGATTTAATTTTGCAATTTCCCTTTTTACCCTCTTGTCTTATGTAAGCCCAAGGGGAAAAAGTGTCTTTTAATTTCTTTTGAGGTCTATATATAGAGGCCCCTTCTCTTGTATTAGGAATGATGGATTATTAATAAAATTTTATTTGCACTTGTGTTCTTTGGGAAGAACCTTGGGTGAGATTCCTATGGGAGGAATTCATAGCTTCCACCAGCCGCAGGATGTGTCTGGGTTCGTGGCCTGAAGTCCCTTAGTGAATGGCAACGTATCACCCAATAGTCTTCGGAAGAGTCCAAGGCTCGCGGTTTTATCTTTTATCTTTTGTTTTTGTTTTTGTTCATTCTTG